AACATCCTAACATGTTTTCATTGCTTTTTGTTAAAGTCCAGGTTTCTGAACCATATGTTAGGACTGGGCGTATTATTGTTTTGTAGAGTTTTACTTTTGTATTTCTTGATATAGCTGTAGATTTAAAAGGAAGATTAAGCCCAAAATAGCATCTATTAGCTGTGAAAATTCTGCGGTTTATCTCTGCGGTAATGTCATTTTCAGTATTGACGAGCGTTCCCAGGTATACAAATTCGTTAACTGCTTCGATGACGTCGTTTTCTATAACAAGTGGCCGTCGTATTTGTAGTTGCGGACCTACTTTCATGTATTTGCAAGGTGTGTTAACTCGAGTAAAAACAGGACTCACCCCACCGTGCTCCAATGCTCTAGACCATCCCTTTCCCCCCTATAGCACTCTGATGCGCTATAGAGGCACAACAATCAGCCAAATGCCCTTCATGTGGAGGTCCTGGGTAATAGAACCCCAACATGGTTTCCTAACCGAATGCAAAAACTCAGGACAGCGCATCTCCGCTATATTCCTGTTATCTTAATGTGGCTTATCCACGAACTAAAATTGCTTGCTTGGGCCTCAAGTCCTCGCTCTGAGTCCCGGCTCAGTTCGGCGACTTGGTGCTCAAGGGGTTGGGCCCTACGTGCCCGGGTTTTGCGGTTTTTGTTAGTTTTTTTTGGTGGCCGAAGCCAGTTTTTGTTAGTATTTTTTTGATTTTTTTGGTGGTCGCGACCGGTTTTTTTGTGTTTTTTGTGTTTTTTTTTATAGGTGAGGTAGACGACAATTAACACCACCACGGTATATATACCTAAATCCAAACACGCTCTTACATTGGATGGTGTACACAGTAAGGGGTGATGAAAGACTTAAAGAAATATTTCAATATGAACTATGTGTGTATCTATCTTTCTTCGACGAATCTGTCATGAGAAAAGGAAGCAAATCTTCAATGGTTACTGTTTTGGTTCCAGGCACAAAAAAATCATCGTGTACTCTAGATTCAGTAAAATATCACACATAATTTATGAAGATCACCTCCTTTATCGTATTGTCTTGCGACGACCAGCTACCTTTAAAGAGATGGATACCAGCAAGAAAATACAAAAGATGAAGAAAACTTACACAGGTCACGTTGTACAATTGAAGTAAGAGTCGATTAGTGACGTTGAATCTTGTGTTATTGGTAATGACACGAACCTATTAGTTTTGTTGAATGTCAACTTTTGTTGTCTTGCCATCAGAGAAGAAATAGAAAATGGTGGTACCATTTGTTGAAAAGTTTACTTGAACTGGTAAATAAGTTTACTTGAAACTCATTGCATTATAATCATGATTATTACGCAAGAAATATTTTGAGTATTTAAAATTATTTTGTTGGAATTTACTGTTAGAAAGATATTCATGCGGCATTGTCCATAGAAACTATAGAAAGTTTAGAGTAGGTTTCTTCGTTCCACAGGTTTATATCGTCTAGCCCTGTGGAAGCTTCTTTTCTCTTAAATAGAAGCGCCCCTTGAGAAGGTAGTGAGATTGACGTTCCTTTAAGGGCTTATCGCTAACATACCACCGGCCACTGAAATAGCAAAATAATATTTAGGTACAAAATATAAAAATATTTATACCGTCAAAACTTAGTTTTCTCAGTAATAATAATATAATATTAAAAATAATTAATTTGCTCAAACAATAAAAAAATTACTATTTATAACTGGGAATAAGCCACAATTAAAGATAAAAATACGTTTATTGACGTTTCAATTTCCAATTCGGAAATCGTTCTCAAAATACAAACAGTAAATTGTAATTTACTGTTTGTATTTTGAGAACGATTTCCGAATTGGAAATTGAAACGTCAATAAACGTATTTTTATCTTTAATTGTGGCTTATTCCCAGTTATAAATAGTAATTAATTTACAATGCCACAAGATAATAGCTTCAAAACAATAAAAAAATATGGAAAACCTTTTACACCCTCCGTCATTCCGGATACGTTGATTTTAGAACAATTATGCATATGACCTTTCTTGTTCTAAATTTGGCGTAGAACATTTTTGTATACAACCTTCTTTACGCTAGACCGCATAGTTTTCGAAATATTTACAAAAAACGTAAAAAACTACTAATTTATCGATTTCTCCTCCCAAAAGCCCTCAAACCCGGCGCTCGAAATAGTGTAACTTTTTACTGAACAATATAATATGCACAATGGATCATATAGAACAATTTGGCGTTGGAGAATAACTTTTACTTTGGATGTCAGATTTTGGGTCTAATTATACCATACTATAAATGAAGTAAATGTGGAGACATCTAGATATCTAGAAGATAGAGAATTTTTACCAATAAGCGATAGTGCTTGTAAACAAATAAATATATCTGTACAGGGATACCGATATTTGAACTGGTTGCCGCTTATTACTGCGCCGCGCTGCCCTGTTCAAGGTTGTACTCTGACGCGACTATTTTTAACTATTAAATTACGTAAAATTTTTCAATGTTTATTAATATTGTTGGAAGAACAGAAGACACTGTATGAGAGCGTATGTAGTACTAAAAGAAATGACTACAAAAATTGGCTTATAATTAATACCAACAAAATGAAATACATCCATGAAAATAAACACGCAACCACAAACCCTATGGCTACTAGTTTAAGAAAATGACGTCACTGAAGCATTTAACGAATTTGTATAGACCGCAGAACTTGCACGAACAACAGGTGTTATTTTAAGTTCAATTATTTTTTAAATCTTCAATTATATTGAAAAATACAAATGTAAAACTCTACAAAACAATAATATACCCAATCGTAACATATGGTTCAGAGACCTGGACTAGGCTAATAATGGAAACATGTTAGGATGTTTCGAAAGAAGGGGCGAAAATTTTTTATTGTAATAATATCATATATTTACAATCTACAATGTAAACACTGGAGTAATATGCAAATTTATTGATGCTGGCATCTTATGAGGGATGTGCCCAGTCTTCATCTAATTAGAACTTCTGGCCAGTTTTTCGTCAATCTTATTTCTATTACTTGTTGATTGGAATGTCTTCTAACAAGTTGGTTGGTATGATCTTCTATCCTGTTATTGTGCCTTATAGCTCTTGACGGAATTACATCTTTTAAAAATTGAATTATGAGATCTTCATGTACCTACGGGTTTAATTTGAGACGTACCATGGTACATTGATCATAGAGCGGAGTGCATTAGACTGGTATGTTTGTAGTATTTTTGTATTTGATGGCTTTTCACAGCCTCATACTTTCACATCATACGTCCAGATGATTATCGCGTTAAACCTTAAAGCATACACGCGCTCCTTTTGTCTCAGACCAAACGTGGCCAGTCGCTTAAACATGATAATATATTGTGGGAAAAATTGGTACGCATGTTCTATGGTAAAAATATGCTGTACACCAACCTGGTGTACATGGGGTTAAATGTGTTATTTTACTTTCGGTTGATAACTGACATTGCAATATCTTGTATTAAATGTAGTTTGTTGATGTTGATTTAGTGAACTCTTTAATTATCCACATTAAATCATTGCTGTCGTGTATTAAAATATTTTTTTAAGTTTTAAACAGCATTTACAGAATTATTGTAAGCAGCCATGATTGCAGTATCATTGTTAGCTTGTTCGAGTTTGTTTGCTAACATTTTATAGTTATCTGTCGGTAGGTAAGCTGTTAGATAATGTACAGCAACAGCCTAATACACTTTCCTGTAGTATTTCTTAGGTGATCAACTTGTAGTTGCTTACTGAAGCATTGTTTTGAAGCTATTTTCTTGTGTTTGTTGCATTTTAAAGTAATTTTTAAAAGTATTTAAATGGGAATAAACCATAATTAAAGGTTAAAATACGTTTATTGACGTTTCAATTTCCACTTCGGAAATCGTTCTCAAAATACAAACATTAGTAAATTAAACAAATTTTGTTTTTTTTTGTTTCTTAGTGAAAAATTCTTCTAACAATTTAATTTTATCTGACTCATTTATATTGACAATTCAGACATACATTATACATTTTAAAGTAGACGACTGCTCCTGGGACGACTTTACTTATAAGATAGTCCATTCGATTACATGAAATCAACTTTAACTTGAGAATATCCGTCAGAAAAAATCATAGCATGTAATTCGTCTTTAAAAAGATAAACACATAACATGATGACAGTAAAATTCTGCTGTTAGTGATTCCATAGTAAATTATGAGGGAAAAACCAGGAAAAAACCTCATAATACTATCCCGACATTGTAAGTATTTGGTCGTGCATTTAGTTTACTTTCAATAAACACCAAATTCTGATTTTATGTTTGATATTTAGAAAACATAAATGATGTATACTCCATATGTTACTGACTTACTAATACTGAAATTTTCCTTTTAATAACCTCCTCTTTAAAAATGGGTAACCAGATCTGCCGATTCATTGCCGAACACATTCTGCCGAGGAATTTGCGACACAATTGATCTTATTTAGCATAATTAAAGCCGCTCCTTTGATTTTTCTCTTTTTAGCATCCGCTTATTTTAGGACTATATTTGAATCATTCCATTGAACCCTATGTTCATTATCTCATGCATGTTACATATTTGAGATCTATCAAATTCTCTATTTTTAATATAAGACTGCTGTTTTCTTATTCTAACATTTAATGGCTTTGATGTTTCACCTAAATAAAACTGATCGCATTCACAAGGTATTTTATAAATGAAATTTTTTGTCCTTTCTTACTGAAATGATATTTGTTTCAAAATCTTCCATAAATATATCTCCATTATTATCCGATATATTTATAAAAGATTTTGAAACAAATATCATTTATAAACAATCTTGTAATCTTGTAATTTAAATTTTTAAGTTTTCTGATTTGTACAACTAGCGCCACTACAGTTATATCGAAAAGTAAACTCATAGGACATCAATATCCTATTTCAATTCTCCCACTGAACATAAACTTTATCCACTTTAACCTAACTTTTTACAAGTGTCAAATATTTTGGTTTGATTGGAAGACTGATGATTTTAATTTATTTCCTTTTAGGACAAACTATTTTTAATTGTACTTGCGAAAACAAATATCAAAATGCCGTCAAAAGGACCCTTAGTGTGTTTAAAATGTGAAACCAGTGAATCTCCTATATGGACAAATGCTGAAAGTTTAGGGTCTATTTGTTTGGACTGTGTAAACGAAGCCAAAGATAATATGAAAACCGAATTAGAAAATGAGGAAGAAGACAATAAAATTGGTAAATCGAAGCCTAGAAATACAAGATCTTATAGAACAAGATTAAATCCTTTTGCTGTACCCAAAGTATCTGCTCCTAAGACAAGAGGTCGTAGAGGCTTGACAAAGAAAACACCAGTCAAAGCTCCTACGGATGTAGCTACAACTGTAACCAGTGAATATGTCTTTTATAAGGTAAGTTTTCATTATCATAAATTAGTAGTAAAACAGAGAGAAATTTGAAGTCAAATAAATAAACAAAAATGTTTTCACCTTGCAATGACTAAATTAATAATGCAATATATACAAGTATAAGCCTTGAATTTGATATGTAATTAATTAAAAAGACTTGTGTATCCATTCTGTGTATTTAGGGTTCTATCCATTCTAATAACAGGGACATTATATTTGACTGCTGCTCTGTCCCACACTGTTTAGAGCATCCTAAAAAAATCAGGGTAGTTATACAAAACATATATTAGACAATTTATTTTATTGTTATTCTTTTTCTATTTTTAAACATGTATTTGTATTTATTATTTTTAGGGCAGCTATATTCAAGTTGGTGATATTGTATCAGTAAAGGATGTTGAAGGTGACATATATTATGCTCAAATAAAGGGTCTTCTAACTGATCAATTTTGTAACAAAAGTGCAGTTTTAACTTGGTTATTGCCAACTCAAGAAAGTCCTCCACCAAATGAAAGGTTTGATGCTGCTACATATATTATTGGTAAGTTCCTAGCATATTTATATACTCTGCAAGATCTAGAACCTTTTTTAATGTCCATATTTGTCTTTTCTGTAAGAGTAATATCCAGTCTGCTGGATACAGAATGAAAATAATCATTTAATCATTTGATGTGATTTGTCTTTGAATGATAGGACATAGATTATATAGACATATGATAAATGAATGAAATAAATAAACATTTTTCAATTTGTAGGTCCAGAGGAAGATATAGCAAGGCGTTTAGACTGTATGGAATTTATTATGCATGCACCATCTGACTATTATAAAGCAAATAATACACCATATCCTTCACCTTTTCCTTCTGCAGAACGTGGATATATTTGGACCTCGATTAATTCAATGAGTATTTAAATGAGAAATTCGGTAGACTTTACATATTACACTTTTTGAATAAACACTTTTAATTTATTTGGAACATATTGTTAAATATTTTTATTTTCATATTTGTATATTATTTTGTATAAATTATAATTCCTAAAAACTGTTTTATTTATCTTATTATTAATATTTTTGAAGACTACAAGAAATGACAAACTATAAAATAGTGCCAGTAGATGGAAATTATTGCATACTGTGACAGTCTGGACCTGATCTATCGCAGTTCCAAAATAAAACTTACCTTCTGGATGAACAAACTGCAAATTGTCTATAAATAAGTGTATCTGGTTTAGTCAACATTTTAAATTGATTACATCTACATCTTTTTGATATTGATAGATACTGCTGGTCAACTAGAGTTCAAATATATATTCTTTGTTGGTTATCATAATTGTGTCACCTGTATGGCAAAGGATTTATACTTGTTCTCAGTCCAGCTTATATTTGTGTGTGGTCTTTTAATTTCTTCTATGATTTTATCAATTAACTATTTTACCAGATTAACTTTAATGTTCCCCATCAAGCTCTACATTATCACAATGTTTTCAATATTCCTTTCCACAGAACAACCTATGGTTTTCACAACTTACGGGATAGATACATGGGGCTATTAAATGTTATCGATTTTGATATTTTCGAAAGATCTCTTGCTTTGTGATATGTATATTGGTATTGTTGAATTTTGTTCTTGTTATATTTTTAGTATGTAAGATTTTTAGTCTCATTTTTTAAACTTTTTTGGTATTGATTTTATATTATTATTAAGTTACTTTCAAGTTTTGAATCCTAACTGTGACCCTAATGACCCACTGCCAGATTCGAGAGTTGGATGTTCTTGTTGCATGAATGTAGAAGTTTGTCTCTATTATTTTTACAGACTGTCATTGTAGTTATTTCATCAGCATAGGTATCTATTTTAATATTTCGCTGTTGAGTTATATCATGTGTATAAAATCAGTAAAGAAACGGTCCAATTACACTACCCTGAGGAACACCCACTTTAATGTATCTTATTTTAGTGTAACCCTCGTGTTTCTAACCCTAAATATTCTTCTTTATAGATAAGATCCGATTGGCGAGGAACCGCAAAGTGGGCGACGCCTGGTGGTAGATTTCAAAAGCATCCACTTCGGGAAAACATTGAAATTGTCATTATTTTGTATACATATTAGCGACTGGTTTATATTGTAATTAACAGTGACTTCGACTTCAAAAAACAATTGCAGTGTTCCTCAATGTTCATCCTATTATAATTCACAAAAAAATTCCATACATAAGTTTCTGTTGGACGAGAATATGAGGAAAGTTTGGGATTGCGTTTTATGAATTGGCAAACATATAACTAAGTACGTGACTGTGCAGTTTACATTTTACTGAGAACGATTACTTTCCAAGTGTTGATTAAAATATTATTTATATTTTAATATAATTATACTTAATTTACCTTATAGTAACATCTGAAACTAAATTAAGAAGACTGAAGAAAAATTCTGTATCAGCTAAATTGCCCCAACGGTCTCATGAAGTTATTAGTAGAAAACGTAAGGCGTAATTTACAAAATATAACGTGGCCAGCTACAAAAACTGCCTCACCCTCAACTAAAGATCTCTGCCGATCTTGCAACCATATAAATAATAAAGATAATGTAAATTTTACTTCCCGTGTTTTAGACATACTGTAGAAAAACAAACATTTAATTTTATTTTTATTCAGGTTTGTGAGTCAATTACCTTATGTATGAATCACAAACAAATAAACTTTGAAGAACGTACTCCAACTTTTACTTTGGCAAAACACGTGTAAATGATTTATATTAAACGTTTTATACCTAATGACAAAATGATTTGTTTTCCCGAAGTTATCGTCCATCTTTAAAATTTTCAGCGCCCCTGTCGGAATTGGCTATCGCGAATATCACTGATATCAGTATCATTTTTTGTAAAGTGGGATAATTCCCGAGAGTTGGCTGTATTCGCTCCGTGCGTGACCATGGTAGGGGTACATTGAAACGATGCCAGCGTGCGTAGCGGCGAAATATGACAAAATTGGAATATTGGACAAAATATTTTTACGCATAGATTTTATCAAAAATGTATGTAAATACATGTTGCGTATTTAATTGTGCTAATAATAGCACAAACAGTGAGTGTAGTTTTTATAGGTTCCCAAAGATTACATATAAATTAGAGAAAAGAAAAAGGTGAATTCGTGCTATTAATATGAAAAGTAAATATCACATAATTTCATTTTTATGCAATTGAAATAGGAAAAATTTAAATAATTTACCTTGAATGATATATCATAATGGCTTCAAGCTAACTGCAGATGACTAGCTTTTATATCATAACTTTTACTATTATTGTTTTTAATTATATGCTCTTTTGTGTGAAAAACTTGATTTTCCAGTACTAGATTTTTTCCTTTCTTTTCTGTTTGGAGTTGAAAAGATATATTATAATGAATTTTGAGAAACCCAGTTTTTAATATATTTATTTTGTACATAAACTGAAAAAATATAGTTAAAAAACTAATTTATTAATAATTGTCAATTTTGCATGTAGTTAACAATGTCAAACATATGTCATATGTTTAACCTGAAAATTGGGACTCCAAAATTGTCAGATGAAGGCGGTAGGTGTCGCGTCAGTCAAGCACGGAGCGAATACCATAGTATATAGGGTAAATAAAACTTCTGTTTTAATGTTTTTATATATTTAATTAGAAAATTAAATAAAAAAATCCAAAAGGATCACAATAGTTGATTTTGGTCCAAAACAAACGTTTTTATATTTATTAGTCCATCTTCAGTGAACCTGAAAAGTAAGTAATACTACTAAGTTAAGAAAAACGTGGTTGAAATTTTGACTGTTAATTAAAAATGTGATTAAGATTACTTATTAGTATTAGACTTGAAGTACTTGCGCCAATTACCTTATCACCAAGCAGTAGGTGGGTTTAAATTAAAAACTAAATACTTTAAAGTAATAAATCAAACGATTTGATACCGATGAAGATAGATTTAACTGTCCGGGAACGAACAAAGATTCAATTTTAATGAAATATTCCTATATCAATTACAAGCCTCGGCCAAGGAAGTTCTTGGTGAAAGAAATATAAATAAAAATAAAACGTCCCCAAGGCGAAGAACTCAATGTTTCTGTACAAAAGTGAAGAAAAAATGTAAAGGAAAGAAAAAAGCTTACTTGAAATACATGTCAACCAAAACACAAGAAGCATACCATAATTACAAGACAATTAGAAACGAAACAGATGCATTTGTAAGAAAAATAAAAAATGATCACTGCGAACGCTGCAAAAAGAAACATGGCGCTTCATACTTCGGGGGTCAAATAACGGGGATAAAGGAACTAATAGAACCAAAACACATAGAAAAGGATACGTGGATTGACTACCTAAAAAAGCTCTATCCAGAGGAAGAAAAAACGACGCTAGAACCGGAAACACCAGAAATTATCACTAATAAAGAAAATACAAATGTACAAGAAGTTCGGAAAATACTTGAAGCAGGTAAAGACGGGATACCAAACGAATTACTGAAATATTGTGGAGCAGCAATGACAGAACAATTAACAACATTAATAAAATTATAAAATACCTTAAGAATGGAAAAGGAGCGAAATAATTTTACTGTTCAAAAAAGGAGATAAAGACAGCCAAAAAACTACAGGGGCATACATTTGTTAAATACTACGCTAAAACTTACAACTAAAATTTTACAAGTGCCAATAAATCAGAGGATAAGTTTAGCAGATGAACAATAGTGTTTTCGTAGTGCAAGATCGTGTACAGACGCAATATTCGTTATAAAGCAAATTACTGAGAAATCACTAGAGTAGGTATAATACGCCAGCATTTTTTAAAGAAAGCCTTTGACAGAGTAAGACTCAAATATATAATCCTGTATCTTAATATATAATCTCAAAGATATAATCTTCTGTATCATAGAAAAGTTCCCCTAAATATTATAAAACTATCGAAAAGATCTACCAAAACAACAAAATGGAAGTCAGAATATATTCCGATTTACAGAACCTATAGAAATCGACAGCAGAATAAGACAAGGGGATTCATTGAGCCCCATGCTCTTCAATTTTAATCATGGATGAAATCATCAAAAGCGTTAACAAAGGAAGATGATACAGAATGAGAAACAAAGATATAAAAATACTCTGTTATAGTCCGTGTAAGCACTCTTGACCACGGCGCAGTAGACGAAATTTGGTTTAGTTTCCACTTCCATGCGAAACGCACTGTACTATGCAACGTGAAAATATCGACTTGAAAATGTTTAGTTGTGTTTCTGACTTTTGAGGTGTTAACTTCAATAAGTTTGTGTGTTTTCTCCCGTTTACCTAATGTTTATTCAAATTTATTAAAAGCGGTCAAAAGGTAGGTACTTTATCATAAATTAAAATACATAGGGGCGCATTAAGGAAATTTTAATAAAATTTTTTCATTTCTTTATTGTTTTGAGACTGGTGCAAAACAAAAATCACTTGCAGTCTGTTTCAATTAATCGGTTAATATATGATATTGGAAAATCTTTTTTTTTTAAATACTTCATATGTTGATTTGAGTTTATATTTTTTTGGAATCTTTGTTTTTTTTTTAAATATTTTTATATTTTCATTTTCATCAGTGTCATCACAATTAATAACAGCGTGTTATTCGCAGTCAGGGCCGACATATTGTTTACAATGTGTATAGTTTTAAAAAAAGGAGCAAGAAAAAAACAACACAAAATCTTCGGTTTTAAATATGGTTGTGGAAGCCACTGAAATTTCTAAAAGTAGCGTCCAAAGAATCATTAAAGAAGGAGAGAGAGTTTCCGACTTTTCATCTCCTTCAGGCAGCTCGGGAAATGTCTTTAAATCTCCCAGAAAAAAGATTAATCAGCCAAAACCGAAAACCAACGTCGATGGTTATGAGGGAGAAATTATAAGAAACACAGTGCATACTTTTGCAATGATTCATGGCAGCAGGCCTACAATGTCAGCTCTTTACAACGCTGTTAAGAATGAGATTAATTTCCAAGGTAAACTATCGTCGTTCAGAAAAGTGTTGAAGAAATTAGGTTTCAAATGG